AAAAAAAGGAAAAAAAAGAAAAAAGGAAAGAAAAGAAAAAAAAGGAAAGAAAAGAAAAAAAGGAAAGAAAAGAAAAAAAAGGAAAGAAAAGAAAAAAAAGGAAAGAAAAGTAAAAAAGGAAAGAAAAGAAAAAAAGGAAAGAAAAGAAAAAAAGGAAAGAAAAGAAAAATAGGAAAAAAAGAAAAAAAAGGCAAAAAACAGAAGAAAAAAAGGGCAAAAAAACAATCGTTTCCTCACCCAAGATGGAGAAGACCACGACGCCGGCCAGGAGGGAGGTGATGCAGTTGGTGAGGGAGACGAGGATGGCGTCCCTGAGGCAGTTGTTGTTGACGGGGTTGTAGGACCCGAAGGCGATGAGGCCCCCGAAGGCGAGGCCGAGGGAGAAGAAGATCTGCGTGCCCGCCTCCAGCCACACCACCGGGTCCTCGAGTTTCTCCCACTGTGTGTAAAGGGGTGGAGGTGGAGGTGAGGGGTAGGGGAAGGGGTGGGGGGTGAGGCTTTGTGTTGTCAATCGTTTTTAATCTTGTTTATTTTTGTTTTTTTGTTGCTTTTGTTATTGTGTTGTTGATTTTGTTCTTTTTTTATTTTAGGGGAGGGATGTTTTTTCTTTCTTTTGTTATTCTTATTTATTGCTAATTTCGTTTTTGTCTCATTATTTCATTGCTGTAGTTGGGTTAGTGGTGTTACCCTTAATTCCTTGTTGTTATTGTTGTTGATTACAAGGGGAAGGTCGTTGTTTTTCTGTTATACTTATTTCTTCCTAATTTCGTTTTTGAATGATTATTGCATTGCCGTTGTTGTGCTGTTGATACTACTATCTTTAAATTGTCATTATCTATGTATCTGTACTCCTATTGATAGCACTGTTTTTATGATCATTATGATGGATAAACTAATAATTTAAACAATACGTAATTTATTCCATGAGTTTTTTCGCCATGATTTCCACTATAAAATACACTATAAAATGAAGAAACTAAAAGGATACATACTACAGCATTTGCGCCTCACTTCCAATTTTCCGCAACATTGATTAAAGGAAATCAATATCACAATTAGGAAGGCGATAAAAGTTTAAAACTTATATGTTGAACGACATTTTTGATGTTGCTGAAGACATGAACTTGATATATATTCATATTTACTTTATCTTGCCTGAATTTACATAGGGGAAAATATGACATTTGACAAGTTTATTGTAATGGAAGTTCTAGGGAAGAGTCATAGGTATTATGTTAACCATTTGTGTGTTGAACAATAACGGGAAAATAGATGAAAATAGTGATAGATAGGTTGATTTTCACACGAATGATTTTTTTTTTACTATACAGGAACTAATAACTGTTTACTAATGTAAATGAATTAACAAATATTAACAAATGTAACCATTAGTAACTTTTGACAATTATAAGGGAGTTGCATAAATGCTGACGAATATACATGCATAAATAACTGCCGACGAAAGTATATGAAGGAATGACTATGATTAATGAATAAATGTTGACGAATAGACAGAAATTAATAATTGCTAAAGAATATACATAACGGAATAATTGTTTACGGACTTAAGTGTTTTTTTGTTGACGCATATACATCAAGTAATAATCATGGATCATTACACATGAATGAACAATTGTTGACGAATGTAACCATGAATAATTAATGACGAATATACAGGAATTAATAATTACAGACGAATACATATCAATGAATAGCTACGAATAATTGTTAACGAATATACATGAATAAATAATTGCTGAATATACATGAATAAATAATTGCTGAATATACATGAATAAATAATTCTTCAAGAATATATATCACTGACGAATATAAACGAATGAAAGGCTGTTGACTAAAGGACTCGAATAGATAATTATAGACGAAAATAAACTAATAAATATCTTTTGCCGGAAACACACAGGTAAATGATTATTAACGAAAATACAGGACCGAGCGAATATTACTCTCTTCGAAGCGGCCCAACATACCCTAGGCGTGAAGAGGTGCGTGATACCATCAGCCATACCCCTCAGCGTCAGTCCTCTCACCAGGAACGCCAGCAACACCAGGTACGGGAACACGGCCGTTACGTATACCACCTGGAACGGAAGATAAGGAGGATTTTTAGGTTTAATTCTGTTAGGAAAAATAAAGAGGGTTTTCATTTTTAATTTTGTTACGGAAAATAAGGAGATTTGAATTTTTTATTCTGTTACGAAAAATAAAGAGGATTTTGATTTTTAATTCTGTTACGAAAAATAAAGAGATTTTCACATTCAATTATGTTACGAAAAATAAATAGGATTTTCACATTTAATTCTGTTACGAAAAATAAAAAGATTTTCATTTTTAATTCTGTTACATAAAATAAAGAGGATTTTCACATTTAATTCTGTTACGAAAAATAAAAAGATTTTCATTTTTAATTCTGTTACATAAAATAAAGAGGATTTTCACATTTAATTCCGTTACGAAAAATAAAAAGATTTTCATTTTT